AAAAAGAAGCTAAAAGATAAAAATAAAATTCTAAATGACAAGAATTAATATTTTTAAAAACTAGCATAGTACAGGTAATTGTAAATTTTAATTTTATATTATATTAAACATACTACACATGAAAATGCTAAAGAACTGTTAATTATTCACATGAAAATCTGAGAGAGAAATAACTTTTCAGGATTATTTCTTATTTAAGACAATTATAAAACAAACAATTTAAAAACCATTCAATGAAATAATAACAAGTCAGTTTTATTACTAAGCATTTATAAAAGTGGTTTCCAATCAGAATGTCATAGCACCCTGGTGTGTTGCACAGTAGTTGAGTGCTACAAGGTTTTAAAATTTAAATACTAAGATTGAGTATACTAAGACATTTTTGAAGAAATGACAAAAAGAAGCTAAAAATGATTGAAGAAATGAGTGTTTGCCTTGGCAACAGTATGATCAATTATTATTAACTTTGTGATGAATACAAATGACCAAAGGACCATTTGTATTCATCACAAAGTTCAAATTTCCCATTAAAGTCAATTTAAGCCAATTAAGTTTTCTGTTAATAAATGACTCCATTTTTTAACATGAAGAAAGCAACACTGATAATTTTCAAGGTGTTACTTTATTATTTAATTACGTAATATAGTCTTGAAAAGCATTTTATCATCAGATCCTAACAACATTAAAAGTTGAACAAAAAATAAAACACAGAACTACCACCATTCAAAAAACAAAAAAAAAAAAAACATTTTAAAATAATTTATAAACATTCCAATTACTAGATGATTCCAAAACCTAACAATAAACATAATTTTATATTTGACTTATTTTTCATGTTCTATTCCAAAAGCATTGATTGTTAGCAATTTTCATGTGTAATTTTTGGGATTTAATTAAGATTTTAAAATCTTAATAGAATTTATTTAAATTCTTTATAAATGCCATGGATGCATTATTACAAAAATATTATAAACAAATAAAAATAAAAGTTCATAGCACTGTATTTTCTAATTTATAGTGCATCATCACTCATCTCTAGTACTAACGAGAAAGGTGACATGCAGATTAGAGTGAACTTGCAAGATCAATTAGTGACAAGGACACAATAAAGTTAAAAACCACTGATTTATAATGTCATTATCAGAGAATTATGTTTTCTGCTTAAATATTAATAAAATCTGTATTATATAAAAATCTTTATATATATATACATATATATATATATATATATATATATATATACACACACACACACACACACACAGTAGAATCTTGTTTAAACAGATCGCTTGGGCTGCCGAAAATCATCCGTTGTTCCAATAATCCATTATATCACAAACAACAAATTTTCCTGCACACCCAGGAAAGTATCCATTATTTGAATAATGTTTCCTCTACATATAAGAAATACCAGTACAGTTGACCCCCCTATAACGCGGTAGATATGTTCCACTTTATAAGAATTTCACGTTGTAGGAATCCTTAAATACATGAGCCAATCACAGCCCGGCACACTTGCAGTTTACGGACTACGGCTGTTTGAAAGGTTTTCTTCCATAAAATTAATCAATTCTAGACTAATTTGACTCAACATTTCCAAAACACGTATAATTTTTTAGGAATAATCCGTATAAACTATGCTATAAACAAAAAATTGTAGGATTACTTACCGAGTGCACCATTCGACGATGCCATTGCTTAAGCTTGTTTTCATTGCAAAGCAGCGCACCAAACGGCGGGTGCGTTTTTTGATAAGTTACTTTTCTGCAAAAAATTCGTTGAACTTTGGAGACATCATTAATAGAAATAATTTTTATGGCCATTGAATAAGAAATGTATAAAATTACAGTACTGTATTAGCCTTACAGTACCTAATTTATATACTGTACAGATGATAGTAAACTCAACTTACCCGCCTAAACTCTCTGTAGGCCTAGTGTATAAGTAGTTCAGTTGCTTGTCCACTATTGGTCCAGATTCGACCAATCCTGTCGCGACACGAGTCAGTGATGACATTTTACCGCATTTTACAAGTCTCTTAGCATCTTTATACGAATACAGTCGGAATTTTTTCGCTGCGATATACGAATCTGCATTATATGAACCCGTGTTATAGCAGGTCAACTGTACTTTAAATTATTCAGTCTTTGGATATGTCTATTCTTTATTCTATAGAAACACATATGTTACAGGATCATATATTATGTTTTATTTGTGTACAACAAAGCTAACTGAAACTGTTTATACTGTAAGCACAAAAAAAGGCAAAGTACATGTGCTTGTTAGCACTTCATTTGACTCCATCCATCTTGGTTTGTTTTGAGGCCACTTTTCTGCCTATTGAATACAACAAACTCCTCATATTAGCAATATTATGTACTGTACAGCCTGTTCATTTATGCTGAAACTCATCAGGAAGATCTTCATGACTAGGAAAGACTCAATGGCCTTGCTAAATTTTGGCACTATACTTGTACCAGTGTTAGAATTTTCACCAGGTGGTTCCTTCTCAATCATATCATCTTGCCAACTCTCTTTGTTTAATTGAAGAATTGTACACATTCCAAATGTAACAATAGCATCATTGAACTCTACAAATTCCCTGGAAATACCCAATATTAACTAAATATTGAAAAACACAAAATTTACAATAGATGGAGCTAAAAAAAAATCAGTTATTCAAAGTTACAGATCTGCTAAAAGGAGGTAAAATTACATCAATTTGGTAGGATCTGGGAAAAAATCCACTATACAGAGAAATTTGTTATTGTTCAATCTGTTAAAAGAAATTCTTCTTTTCATATATAAAGTGTTAAAGTTTTAGTATCTAAAAAATTTGGATCAATTCAAGCTCAGACATTTGGGACCTTATCAGAGCTGTAGAGCCTACTGATAAAAGCAAAAAAGTCAAAAGAACCATACCTCTACAAGCAATTCTTTGCAAGATACAGCCCCCCAAAATCAAGTCACGAGATCACAAGTTGCATTGCTCCACTAAAACTATCACATTTAAGTATTTAGCCCACGTGACTATGCTGGCTTCGAGTAGCCCACTTGATTGTTCGTGGAGTACTTGATGTTATATAGTTTTAGGGGGTGGGAGCAAGCCCCCAACCAGGTGTCGAGATGCTCACTATCACTTTCACCAAAGTGCACGACTACATGCAAAGCACTGGTCAAGGCAAGCAATAGCGAGCCTCGACAATGTGGAGCATAGATAATAGGCAGTATACTGATACATGTTAAAAAGCAATCTTTGGAGACAAATACAGTGGAACCTCAGTATAAGACCTTAATCTGTCCCTGATGTTTTGACTTATACCGAATAAGACGTATACCAAACCAACCTTTCCCATAAGAAGTAATGTAAAAATGATTAATCCATTCTCATGTAAAAAAAAAAATGGTTGGCTTTAAACACCTTGCTTTCCTGGCTAGTTCCTGCTTGATTTTTCATGAGATCAGCATGTATCTTTTTAGCTTTCTCGCAAATAATTGCTTTTGATACGCTGTCTCAGCACACTGTTTTTCAGTTATCCAAAGCAAAAACAATTTCTCAACATGATCTAATGTCTTCAATCTCTGTTTAGAAATTGATTTAACCTCTTTTGCAGTGTTAGCAGATTTAATAATGTCTTTATTTTTCACGATTGTCAATATCGTCATTCTCAGAATATGGTATACAACAGTTAAAATCTTTAACACGCATGCCACCTTCAAATTTCTCAACAATCTCTTTTTTCAGTTCCATTGTGATTCTAGTCATTTTTTTAGTTCTCTGTTGCTTTTCATTTGCTTTTCTGCAATTTATGATTAATAAAAATAATAGAATTTTACTTGCAAATTAAAATCAGAAGAAATTTAACAAAGTTATAAACTGTGGCACTGCGTACGTCTAGTCTAGTACACCGATAATGCTACTTGTTCATAGATGGTGTGTATAATTGAATTAAGTCGTATACTGAACAAAAGTCATATATTGAGCAAAATTTGTATTGTCCATACAGGACGTATTCCGAATTGGACATATTCTAAAGCAGACGTATACCAAGGTACCACTGTATCTTGCATAGAGTCACATGTACAGATATGGTTCCTTTGATTTTCCTGCTCTTACAAGGGGAGTCTACAATTCAGGAGAGTTGAAAAACCTGTCATTCGGAGCTTGAATCTTACCAAAAATTTTTTGTTAACTTGTATAATTACAGAATTTTTCTCTGAATATGGATGGAACTTACAAGTAATTCCATATAAGACAATTTGATATTTCTAATATTTTGTGATTTATTTTTTTACACATCCAAATGGTTGAGCAGTTAAGACATCATCCTACTGCTCCAGGGAACCCAGGAAAAATCCACACAAATCAAATTGCAGAAATTTTCTGAAAGTCAATCCAACCCAAATACACTGCACTGGTCCCTCATCGTCCCATTACGGACCAGGGCAAATCCACAATGGGCTTGTTAAAAAGATCCTCTTAATGCCCCCAGAGCAGGGAAAAAGGGGGGGAAATTAACAACTGAAAGTTTGAAATCAAAATCGATTTTTAAAAATTTTCGTTACTAGCTTTTAAATGAAAAATAAAAATTATAACATTTACTAAAGCATTTTTAATATTGTTAACTCTCAAAATTTTATTTGATTTAATTTTGTTCTTTTCCTTTCATTACAAATTTAATTCGCGATTTAAATTACTCTCTTCAAATTCAAAAATTCGTTATTCTTCGAAAATGATAACGAAAGATTAAGACTTTAACTACATAGCGAAATTTTAAATCGTCTTATTCTATTGACCTACTTTTACAGCATTCATACGGTAGAAGTTACTTTTAGGACAATATCTAAATTTATATACGTACTGTACAGTACAAATTAACTAAAAGTAACCTCTACTCCCGTATATTTATACACATTTACGTAATAGACGTTTAGGTGTATTTATATACGTGTTTATCACCTCTAATTACTAAGAAATTTGAATTATTCAATATTCTTACTCTGCTTGATGCTCTTTGTTGTTGTTTCGGGAGCGACTGAAGTTGTTATTACCGAAGATGTTGAACTTTCCGGCATTGTAGTAGTATTGAGTGAAGTAGAATTTTTTTTCACTTCAGAATCCGATTGACATAAGGTAATGGTAAATAGAAACACGCTTAGCAAGAAATACTTCATTTTCATTAATCTACAATGCCAATATATTTAATACTTATTGTCTTAAGAAACCTCTAATACACAACTCTGTTTAAAAAAAATTCTATTAAAGCGATAAACCGAAAAACACTCGGAACTTTCTTCCTGCTTGTTTGTACTTAGTACCGTCCGTACCTGATAAATCTCGTGACAGCAGTCATAATTAACTACCGATTAAGTGGTAAATTGTTTTAATTGTTCACTATTCTTCTAAAAAATGTATAAATATCAAAAATATGCTTAGTAGATAATACAAACACCAACTATGATATCGTTTTAGTTATATTTGATGTTTTATTATAAAAATTAAATTATAAATAAATGTACCATAAAAATTGTAACTAATTTGAAGTTCGATTATCGAATTATTACAACCAACAGCGCCCTCTCGCTTTAGAAAGACCTATTTTTGTGAGAAAATATATCAAAATTGTATATATATTATAAATTTTATAAATTATAAAATAAATTAAATATTTACCAAATAATAAAATCTTCGTTAAATCATTTGTTTCTGTACTTATGTGTAGCGTTTCTTAGGGTGCGTTTACTTCTGAGCTAATTTTACTGTCAGCACGCTCAACCTGAATACTGTACTTTTGCCCATTGGCGTTTACTTTAGATTTGTGTGACGTCGTTTTTTAACGAAATTAGTAAGCTGGGAGTGATCAAAGTCCTAGATAATCTAGGACCTTGGGGAGTGCTAGCTAGTTCGCTGTTGAGCTTTGCGTTAATTCAATATTCAATCAGTGGCATAGCATAGTGGGGGCGGCGGGGCGGCAGTTTTCTTCTTCTTAGTGCCATATCAGATTTCTGACGTCGGCGACACCCGGCGCAGATTAGTAAGTAGTTAATAATACGCCAAGGTGTTACTAGGGAAGGTTAGTACCCAGAGTGGTTTCCCGTTGCCTTCTCTGGGGCGCGATGTTACGCGAGGAGAAAGAATGCCTTCCTGGAGGACTTTTATGGGGAACTGGCCTCCTATTTAGTCGTTATCGGCAAAAAGAAAACCCGGAAAACTCCAAGCAGCCATCCTGTCCGATCGCGGCGCGAACCCACGACCGAACTCCCAGTGTTTAGGGTACGAAGACCGCTCGGCCACTGGTGGGCGGCACTTTTAGAGGGCGGCAAAATTTCACAATAAATAATATCTTATAAAAATTTGAACCATTTCATTTCATATCTTTGTCGTACCTACGATTCGGACCGATTGAAATGAGCACGGAATTTTTCATTATTTATTCTGTGATGAAACTGAATTTTAGTCTTTTAAATTAAGATACCTAAATAAGGGGGCGGCGAAATTTTCCTCCGCCCCGGGCGGCTGATACCCACGCTACGCTACTGTATTCAATTTGATTCTATCTGTAACGTAACATTTAAAATAGTAGCTTTGACAATATTATTTGCAGGAAGCCGCCATATTTCTTGTTAGCGTTCGCATTTACTTTCGAACTGGACATGTAAGTACGAATACACATGCTAATGACGTCACTTCCAGTGTTCAGAAGTAGCACTATTAGCTCAGAAGTAAACGCACCCTTAGTAAAGCCGCTTTAAGCTAGTCGCAGAGAGATTCACAAACACTCAGTGGCGTACCGTGGGTGTCAGCCGCCCGGGGCGGAAGAAAATTTCGCCCCCTTATGTAGGTATTTCAATTTAAAAGACCAAAATTCAGTTTTGTCACAGAACAAGCAATGAAAAATTCGATGGTACTGCAGCGACCTGTTTAAAATAGTTCTATTGGTTATTAGTGGTGTATATGAACGCGAATGAATCGTACAAGAAAAAGAAAGAAAAAAAAAAAAGGTCAACAGGTTTTTTCCTCGGATGAAAAAATTACTAGTTCGCCCGGACGGCGAGCCGATTCCCGGACTGTCCGAACGATAGCACTATCGTAGGCGCGATGCAAGTATATATTAGGATGTTTCAAATTTTTACAAGATATTATTATTATTTATTGTGAAATTTTGCTGCCCCCTAAAAAGTGCCGCCCCCATTACGATACGCCACTGCAAACACTGAAGATAGATACTGTACATGCCACCATAAATTATACGCATATTACGTACTGTATCTCAAATTAAGATTGTGACATACGAAAATCTATTTTAAATTAGTTATCGGAAAAAATTAGAAACACAGTTTTCCACATAATCTTCAATTCCGACATAAAGATCTTCAGATTTATTGTAAATTCACATATCTTTTTCGAATTCACACCACATATCTTTCTGTTTCTTTGGCCTTTTCTGGGTCCAGCTTTTGGCAAGGGACAAATCTCTTCAGTTGTTACTGTGGTTCCTGATGTGTTAGACCGATTTCTTGTTGAAGAACTTTCCATTTGTGCTGCGGCAGCAGGGTCGGATTAATCCACTTTGGGGCCCTAGCATTTTCTTCCCCTCCCTCTCCCACAAGAAATAGAGCACACAAAAAATATACAACAATAAATGAAACACAACTAAATAATGTGAAAAACTAAAACAAATCTTAAAATTTTATTAGGCCCTAGACATTTTCTTACCGGGCCCCCCTCCCTCTCCCACAAGAAATAGAGCACACAAAAAATATAAAACAATAAATAAAGCAAAACTAAATAATGTGAAAAACTAAAACAAATCTTAAAATTTTATTAATAAAAATTTCAGATTTGTAAATAAACTATCTTATTTACAAATCTTTTCAAAATAGACAGNTTCTCTACTCTTCCTTTTTTCCTTTTAGTCATAAGTAGTGTAAGAATTATTTGTAAGTTTTTGCATCGCGTATAGTCGTGACCCTCAATTAATCCGCTGTTTGTTAGATCGAATTTTAACGCCTGTACGTACAGCGATCATTGTATTGTTGGGATCTGGAAGAAACGAACCTGTTTCGAGGTGACAATAAATATCTTTGTGTTCAATACATCTAAAGTGTATTTATTTCGTACTTTTCCGCTCGCGGGACATCGTACTTGTCGCAACGAAACACCACAAGGCTTTACAGATGTGGAGAAAACCCGGAAAACTCCACATGGCCAGCCCGTCCGAGCGAGGCACGAACCCACGACCGAACTGCCAGTGTTCAGGGTTCAAAGACCGCTCGGTCACTGGTGGACTCCCCAACAGAAAAGTAAACTATCTTATTTACAAATCTTTTCAAAATAGAAAGTTTGACCGGGCTCTTCTGAAAACCGGGTCCTCGACATTTGTCTCATTTGTCTATGCGATGATCCGGCCCTGTGCGGCAGAGGCACAAGGGTGAGATTAGCAGGCCCATTATGGGTTCCGCCAGGCCCACAATGGGGCGACCGGGTGGTGAGGAGAGGGGCCCGACAAATCCGAACGGACCTCTCCCCGAAAAATTCCTGGGGATTTCTTGACCTGTCCGAGTCCCCCAGGGCGGTGGGCTGCCATCTTGACCGCTCGGCCATCCGGCCTATCGAACATAGTTTATTTTAAACTAGTTGTCGCAGCAACCGACAAATCGTTGAAATACGATACGTAAAATAAAAGGAATATAGTAACACTTTTTTGTCGATTAAGTATTATGCAAAAAAGATAAGCAACAAGTCGTCGTAGTCGCAGGTTTAATGTGTGCGACACCACATTAAACCTCTGAGAAAACGGATTCAGAGTATTCTTATAACACAGAATGATGATAACGCTCTCTAAAATAGAATTCAAGAACAAAATTTATAAAAATGATAAATAAAACGTGTTCAGTAATTTTTGTATAATTTAGAATCCAGGTCATAAAATATTCACGCCGAGCATTCATGTAGAAACGTATTTTCATTACGAGGACTCGATTTCGATTCTCATTAAGAACAGTAGTTTCTTCTCCTTTGAGGAATTAACTTCTCCACAATCTTCTATAAAATGATTTTTCCTCTTATTTACTATTTTAAAAAGCAGATAAATATTTTATTACATACTCAATTGTGTGTAATAAATTCCATAATATCTCTTCATATCATTTTTTTCTTATTATCTTATCTACAAGGGTATCGCCATGGGGGCAGCTGCCCCCTAGAAATTCGAAAAAATTATTTAAATGCTAAGTTTTAATTAAAATAATCTTCTTGGGCTTCTTGTAAGTTAAAAAAACGTTTTAATTAAGATATTTCTTCTCCGGTACACAGTAAATGATTAAAACTTTATGAATCGTTTTTATTTTACCTACATACAATTCATATCCTCTATCAATTTATATCATCTTGCCTCCCTGGCCCATTGGCTGGCGACACTCTTGCTTATCTATAAAACCACTAGCAGATGAGCCCGACATTGCTCGGACAAAAATAAAACCAACAAAGATCAAGATTATTAGATTCTTTTGTATTTCTAGCCCTTCTATTATATTATATTGTAGTATTTGATTTATATAACTACGAATGTTATCTTACTTAAGGGTTTAAAACCCAAGTGCCTAATGTCAAGCATTTTAAAAATTCTTTAAATTGTGTACAGTAGAGGAATAAATAGTTTTTAAAATGTATTAGATTGGTCACTCGGTATGATAAACCCTTACGTAAGATAACCTTTGTAGTTATATAAATCAAATACTATACTATAATAAATATTAAAACGAAAACCATATAGAGTTTGGTTTTTTAGCCTATCATTATCACGTTTAGCATCATACTTGAACTGTACGAATAGACACAATTTTATTGGCCAAGTAGACTATAAATTGAAAATGTGGTATCTTAAATTTTTTCTCTACCTCTGAGAAACTGATGTATTCACAGACGAATATCAAATGGTCATCTGATAACGAATCAAATTTCGTGAAAAACAGACCAAATATTTAAACTCGGCACCCTCGAAACCACTTAAATCATATTTTGTGCAGGCCGGTAACCTCGTATTTTGGATTTTCCAATTCCGATGGCACCATACCGCTGGTCCGATAGAAAGAAGAGACCGTTGCGGAAGAAGTTGAAGTAATTCGAGGAAAAGTAGTCGTTGACTTCCTCACGGGTGTTCAACCACTACTAATTAATGCTCTACAATTAATATTTGAAAAACGATCCGTGTTAGACAGGTTGTGATGGCTCCGCACGTGATAGAATTGCCAACCTTAATAAATGTCCGAAAGACCTTGAATGATTTGTTTAAATAAAAAAAATCTTGTAAAACTGTGAGAATAATTTATTTTATGTTATACCTACGCAAAAACACCTTATCTCACTGAGAATTATTTATTAACCATAATGAATGTTTTCAACCTTTAACCAATGTATTTGTACCTACAGTATTTTATTTTGTTATTTTAAATTCTATATATAGTATTAGCCTTACAGTACCTAATT